CAGAGAGTAATCTTATGTCGGGGAATGGGTGGTTTGCAGTAACATCTGACAACATTTGCAGAGTCCTTTTTACTCAGACTTGGCTTGGCAGACTACTTGGCTTTTTGGAATCTGATCTGTTAATTCAGGCTTCAGTATCTAGTACAAAGAGCATGCAGAGCTGGGTATTTCAGGGCATGAGTTTAAAGCAATAAATTTCCTGCCTAGGAAAGCATCCTGATCTGGAGAAGTGATAGGCTCTCTTGTTCTGGTTTAAAGGGAAACCCGATTAATTCTAGAGGGTGTCCTACAGGTATTCAGTGTACTTCCTTCTTGCCTCACTCTGGGCTTTGCTGGGCCCCCATGGCTGCAGCTGCTCATCGACATTCTTGTCTCCTTCCAGTCCTCTGAAAAATGCCTACCCCGTCAGTTCTACTTAGCTTCACTCAAGCTGACCTTCACCTTTAAACTTGAGACTGTATCAATGGTGGTTTATCCTGAGTGTGTCTGTGAGTCACCGGTTTCTGTAGGTAAGAAATCTCTTCTCCCTCAGCTCTTGTGTATAGGGGAAAACATACAGCGTTTCAGACTCTGTATTGCTTACATTGTGAGGAAACTGATCAGATCAGAAACCTGTAGCTGCCATGACCGAGCCCTAAGAAGATAATATCTCCAAAATATACAAACGTGTAGATCTCACTATAGTGGATCCATGTTTAAGTAGCCTGGATATATTCTGCATTAGGAGCCTGAGCAAATTATCTAAATAAGATTGATTCCAACCTGTCATTAGGACTACTAAACTTTAAAGGACATCACCCAAATGCCTACAAATTGCTTAAGGATGTGGAATATGTGGTTTTGTTCAGTATTGGCTCTGTCCCTGTGCTTACTTATTTACCATATCCCATCAGGCCAATGGGAAACTAGTTCCTGCATCAACTAACCACCCCCCTCCCATTTCCTTCCTCAAACCACTCAGGATTTGTGAGACTTGAAAGAAGGTACATAATGACACAAGACATTACACTTGAAGCCATAATCTGACCCTCAACTCACTTTAGCCTCTCAGAGTTTTCTCAGAGTTCTTTTCATCCGCACTTGAAGGTTGGTAGATGACCATTAATATGGCAGGCATGTTTCTTTAAACTCTCAACACCATCTAGTTATAGGTGACCTTTGTAACCAGGATGGGTTTATGGATGTCAAGGTCTACAGCCACCAAACAAAACCAGCTCTAAATTTGGATACCCTCAGGGTGGGGGGCTCAACCTGCCAGCCTACCTTCAAGGTTCCATCTCAAGGGCTGACAGTGTTTCATATCCCCCTGAGCAGATGTGGAACAAGACATAAGGTGAGTACCAGCAGACTTCGAGGTGTTAAGATTGGACTGTAAGATCACTGGTCACTCACTTCTAACCTTCCTCTAATTTTAAGTTCAAGGACGGCAAAGTCATCTATGAAAATGAAATACATGCTCTCTGGGCGGATCTCCCTCCACGAACAATTTCCAGAGATAGTGAATTCAGGTGTGATGAAATTGCTACTTCTCAAGCTCCATGTTAGGTTAAAGCAGTCTTCTAACCTAAAATTCTTCTTACCACTTGGCCCCTCCCCACATTCATTACAGAATGACTGTGAGGTGCCACTACAGCAGAGATGACCTGCTAATAAACACTGATGTCCAAAGCCTTCCTCCTCCAGTGGCCTCCGTGAGGCCAGGTCCACTTGCCTTGAGCATGCAAACCTACCCAGGTGAGCCTAAGAAACCCTGCTTAAATACTTTCAGAGAACTCTGCCCCAACCTGAACTTTCTGATGCTGCCAGACTAATGGAATAGTAGTGATGCTTTAGCTCCTACTGCAACCATCAACCACTTGTATAGTGAAGATGTTCTTATTCCATTTCAGACAAATCTTACCTTCGACCTTATGGGGACAAGGAGTACCCTGTGGTGAGATACCTCCGCCAACCAATTTACCTGGAACTAAGAGTCCTTAATAGGGCTGACCCCAATATCAAGCTGGTCTTAGATGATTGCTGGGCAACACCCACTGTGGACCCAGCCTCACTTCCCCAGTGGAATATTATCATGGATGGGTAGGTATTCTCCACCCATAAGGTAGCTCAGTTAATGAAAAATTACCAGCGAAAGGGAGCCTGCCGGGCTCAGTCAATAAAGCATGAGACTCTTGATCTCTGGGTTGTGAGTTCAAGCCCCATGTTGGGGGTAGAGATTACGTTAAAAAAAAAAAAAAACTTAAAAAAAAAAAAAAAGTGACAGTGAAGAGGAGATAAAACCCTCCTGGGTTTCAGAAGAACACAGTCACAAGGGCCCTAATCTTTGTGTTCATTAGTAACCAGTCTAACTGCCTGGGACATACTAGGCGCTCAGATTAGTAGGAAGAATTAAGCCAATGTAAAAACTACATATAAAACTTGAGGCTCCTGATAGGTTTACCTGGCAAACTAATCAGTACTTAAATTGTATTACTATGTTAGAAAAATAGAACTAGTATGTACAACTCATGACTTGATATTGTTGGGTAGACCACATCAGAAAGTATTAAATAAAAGGCACAGGTAGAAGGTAGAACAGTTCACAAGGTGTTAGAATACATGTGGCTGAGTTTGGGCAAATGTTGAGTCAAACTTGTGTGTCGGGGGGAGGGAATAACGTTGCTAATGTTCTTCCCTGGTGTGTACCTCCCAGCTGTGAATACAATCTGGACAACCACAGAACCACCTTCCATCCAGTTGGTTCATCTGTGACCTATCCTAATCACTATCAGAGGTTTGATGTGAAGACCTTTGCCTTTGTATCTGAGGCCCAAGTGCTCTCTAGCCTGGTAAGCAATTAAGTCGCCTGGGACAGACAGAATATAAGTGCATCAGTTCCACTCGACTCTTCTATCTCCAGGTCTACTTCCACTGCAGCGCGTTAATCTGCAATCAACTCTCTCCAGACTCCCCTCTGTGTTCTGTGACTTGCCCTGTGTCATTCAGACACAGGCGAGGTAAAAACTTCAAGTCTTTGTTACCATGAGCCCTCAAAGCAAGACTTATCTTCTCAGAACTGGAAACCTTAAGAATGAGGGCTGTGGGGAGCCTGACTGCCTCAGTCAGTAGTGCCTACAACTCTTGATCTTGGGTTGCTGGTGGGTACCAATGAGTGTACAATTCACATAAAATGAAAAAAAAAAAAAAAAGTTGGGGGGGGGGGGCTTTATTGGGACTCCTTATCAGTTCTAAGAAATGTTCTCAGGTTTCTTGTTCCAAGAAACCTCCGGGAGGACTGCCTCCCTGCCCATAGGATAAGGCTGAGATGGCAAGTTCTGGATCAGACTATGAGCAAGTCTGGTTTGGCACATGGACTGGAGCCTGATCTTCTGCACAGGTGACTCTGAAAAGTTACTCTTGCAGAGTCTGGGTGGACTGGGAACTTAATCTTCTTGGGGATATTCCTGGAGAGTTTATTCTGTTTTTACAGTAAAGTATATGCCCTCTCCTGCAAAGGTGGGCAAAAACCACATAGAGCAGGGAACTGGGCAGAGATGTTTAAGTTCATCGACACACCTCTCTCTTTATTGGTCACTATTCTCAAGGTCAGATACTAACTCCCATCTCTGTCCCCAGCCACAGGTACCACTGAAGAAGAGAAAATGATAGTAAGTCTCCCGGGACCTATCCTCCTGTTGTCAAATGGCTCTTCACTCAGAGGTATGGATTTAAAGCCTAGGGCACTTCCTAGACTCCAGTTCTTGGCTTTGTTAAATTTAACCATGCACAAATAATACAGGCCTATGGTAATCCTAAGTAATAAAAGAATGAGTCTCTCTTCCTAGCCATAACTCTAAGTTTTCTTGTGTACTCTTCCAAAAATGCCCCCTTAAAAAAAAAAAATCCTTTAATGCAAGTGGAAACATCATTATCACATATTCTACCTACTTGCTGTAATTTTTTTTACTTGTTTTGAACCATTTAATCTGCACAGAGAACTACCTCACTGCTAACAACTATATAGGATTCCATCCACACGGCTCTGTCTTAGCCACAGTCTTCATTCATGGGTGTCCAGGTTATTTCCAAATTTGTCACTAATGCTCCAGTAGAAACCTCCTCTTAAATCTTTGCCTACTACACAAATTCAGGATAGCTTTTTTTTTTTTTTTTTAAAGACTTATTTTAGAACACAAACTGGAGGGGCAGGGAGAGGGGGAGAGAATGTCAAGCAGATTTTGGCTGAGCCCAGAGCCCATCCTGGGGGCTCTAACTCAAGACCCTGAGATCACAACCTGAGCCCAAAGCAAGAGTCAGACACTTAACTGACTGAAACACTCAGGCACCCCTGGGAATCTTTGTAGAAGTGAATTATTAAATCAGAAGGCATGTGACTTACTCCTGCCAAACTTCATTCTGTACTAGATTGTGTTGTTAATATCTCCTATCTTGATCCCAGCTGGTCTTAATTACAGACCCATAATTTGAAAGTAAGTGGCCTTAAATCCCTAACAACCTGCAAGAAATCATGCACTTGGGATCATTTCTATTAGTGCCATAATGTTAAAAAGGCTGAAATAGTAAGGTTCTTTTCAGGTGTCAGCTCATCTGATTGTAGAAGGAAAAGAAGCAAGGGGGAGGTGGGAACAGCCGTGGGAGCAGAGCAGAGAGAGGAGGAGGTTGGCTCCAGGAGTAAGACTACATACCTTGTTGTGAGCTTCCCAAATGAGCCCTGTGAGGCTTCATATCACTTCTCTGGGCAGCCTCAGACTTTAACTTAGGCCTTCTGATTTTAAATGATCTTAAGACTTGAATGTCTCCTTCCTTCCCAGATGCTGTGGACTCGAAATGGCCCAAGGCTGCCGGATATGTTGCTTTTAAGACTGTGGTGGTTGTGGCTGCCTTAGCAGGCCTGGTGGCAACTCTAGGCCTCATTAGCTACCTCCGCAAAAAAAGAATCATGATGTTAAATTACTAAGGATTTTCAAATAAAGTGGTTGAAGCAAGCTGCTTGCTCTTACCTCATTAAACTTACATGGAGTTCAAGGATGGCTTCTTGGGGTCACACTCGTAGAGGGCATGTAGAACCTCTCCACAATGCTAATGGGCTTTGGCTGTGTAGATGAGGATAAGGAAACTCAGGACTTAATTGTTTCCTGTCATTCAGCTTTCTCTGACCTCCACTCCCCAAACTGGCAATGCCAGAAAACTGAACCAGCAGCATGTCTTAGCTACAGCCCCCCTCTGGGGCTGCCTTCAGGCAACTCATCTTTCACCCCTCCATTCACATATGCAAGATGTGGAGATGAAAGCTCACCCTTAGTCATGGGCATGATTTCCCTTCCTTAGAAGGGCAGGGTAAGGAGGTGTTCCCAAGGAATTAATCTAGTGTTCTGCTTCCATATTTCCTAACTCAAATTACTTTTTGAAAGAAACTTTGCCTAAGAACTTAAAGGTTTTCAGTTACATTGTTCCCTGTATTCATCATGCAATTCGAGACCAGCAATCTCCCTGGGGGGATGGAAATGAATAAAGGTTCTGGTTTTCTTAGGTGCAGTTACAACATTCCTAGTCTCGTTAAGACTCCACAGCTGTACACCAGCCCCTTAGCTGAGCCTGGAGAGTGGCTTTCCCACTGCCTACATGCGATTATTCCTTCCTTCTGTGTCTTTTCCCCCTCAGGGTCCCCCAGCTTCTACACTGCAATTATATCAAAAGGACTAGTGTTTGCTTCACACTGTAGCTCTTAACAGACTATGTTCAAGATAATACAGAAATGCACTGGCTTGTATCCTTCAACTAGAAAAAGCATAGATTGTAAGAGAGCTTTGGCTAGGAAAACTCAAAAAGCTTTAAAATATCTGTACGGGGCTAGGAGGTAAAAACAAAGTCTTCAGTGTGTTGGGAACTTTTTTGGGAGTAGTCATAGTCTCGCTTTTTAAAATTTGAAGAATATTAAGTATACTGTAGCTCTTTTTTTTAAAGATTTTATTTATTTGACAGATCACAAGTAGGCAGAGAGGCAAGCAGAGGGGGAGGGGGGGTAGCAGGCTCCCTGCTGAGCAGAGAGCCTGATGCGGGGCTGGATCTCAGGACCCTGAGGTCATGACTGGAGCTGAAGGCAGAGGCCCAACCCACTGAGCCACCCAGGCACCCTATACTGCAGCTTTTTGATATGCATTCTGCCTCCTCTTCCAATACACCTTTTCATTCTAAATTATTTGATTACATTTATACAGTAGAACTCAACCATGGTGTGGGGAAGGAAACTACTCACATTGTGTGAAAGCTCTGGTCTTTCTAGAGTTCTAAGAGTCAAAAGTTCAAGTTAATCATCAAAGCCATTCTTGGGATATTGCTTTAGAAGGGAATAAAGCCTTAATCTGATGATAAATGATCTTGGAGTCAAGCTTTTCTGTGACTGACAAGGCACAGTGTTCCACATTAGAACCGGAAAACCCGCGTATGTTGTACTTTTTAAAATGGCATTTAAATTTGGCCACTTAAGGGGCTTCCTGATCCCCAGTGATAGGCTAAATAATGACCACCCCAACAGGTCCACTTCCTACTCCCCAGAATCTGAATATTCTCCTTACATGGTTCCAAATGGACTTTGCAGATGTGCCCAAGAGTCCTGACATGGGAATATTATCCAATAAGACCCAATCACAAGGGTCCTTATAAAAAGGGCAGAAGGATCAGAGTCAGAAGATGTCCCAATGGAAGCAGAAATCAGAGTGATGGGGGCCACAAGCCATGGAATGTGGATAGCCAATATTAGCTGGGGATGGCAAGGAAATGGGTCTCCACTAGAGACTCAAGGAACACAGTTCCACTGCCCCATTTTGGACTTCTGAATTCCAGAGTTGTAAAATAACCTGTATCTCAAGATGCTAAGTTTATATGAATTTGTTACAACAGCAATAGGTAATAAATACAAACTCCAATGAGTCCCTAAAGCCATCACTTTGCTAGAAATGCACACATTTTACAGAAGAGCAACATAGGCCCTAGGGTAGCTTGTCTGAGATATATGATCTTGATGAAGGAGCTGGAGCCTCTCTTCTCCAGGTTGGTCTGTTTGTGTATGGTCAAAAGTCAGGATCATGGTGACCTGGCCTCCAGCCTGTCCCCACAGCAGGGCTTGGTTCTGATGTTTGCCACAAATGCTGGGGCAGAACTTGGGAGAAAAGCTAAGTCAACTGTGGAGCAGCTGCTGGGATGAACACTTGTTGCCATGGAAGCCAGAAAAAAGTACAGTAAGTGACTGACTCAAGTTATGCTCTCAACTTCCAAAGGTTGACATCCTCCTACTGTACGTGGGGGAGGCAGCCTTGTGCTGTGGGGAGAGAGGGAGCTCAGATTCTGAGAGACTGCTCCCTCACCAAACTCGTGTTTGCAATCTTGCTTATGCAGTAGGGATGAGCCATAGTTGTAACACAGGTCCCAGGAGGTAGGTGAGGGGTATGTGGATTCTAACACTCTACCCAACAGTTTGAACAGCAAAGGTTACAGGGGCTGGGAATGGACTTGCATGCCTTGGGAAGGCCCCTGTCATGTTGAACTTTCCTTCCCTGCCCTGATCTGCTGACTCAGGCAGTTTCATGAAATTTGCCAGGTTCTAGAATAAGAGCTGTGTTTGGGTTCTGGATCTATGTCGCTCTTGCTGTGTGACCTTAGGCAGGTGGAACAATCTCTGAGCCTATTTCCACATCTTTAAAATGAGAATAAAACCTATTTTGATAAAAACAAAACAAAAAACTTATTTTGGGGGCACACAGATGGCTCAGTAGGACATGGGACTCTTGATCTTGGGGTTGTTGGTCTGAGCCCCATGTTAAGTGTAGAGATTAGACAAAGTCTTAAAAACAAAACCTACTCTGAAAGCATGTGAAGGTTCAATGAGATAGTCAGTAGTCAAAGTCTTAGTGTCTGAGCAGCCCAGTCAGCACTGGAGTCATCTAAATAAAACCCCAGGGATAAAATTATAAGCAACTGAGGGTTGGATAAAGCTATGTGCTAGATGAGAGATTCTTAATCAGGCCCATATTTTGAAAAATATACATGTCCTGACCCTATCTACTAAATTAGAAACTTTAGAGAGAGGGGTCTAAGCATGTTTAGGCTCTGAGGCCAAATAATGGCCCCAAAACATCTATGTCCTAATCTCAGAAACCTGTGAATGTTCCCTTCCATGGGAAAAGGGACTTTACGTACATGATTAATTTAAGGATCCTGGATGGGGAAATTCTCTGGATCATCCAGGTGGGCCCTAACTGCAATCACAGGGATCCCTATAAGAGGGAGACAGGGTGAGATCTGATGACAGGAAGGGAAGGTAATGTGATGATGGAGGCGGGGACTGGAGTGATGCACCATGATGACGAGGGAGGGGCTACCAGCTGAGGACCACAGATGGACACTGAACTAAAGGAGTTCAGGAAAAGGACTCTCCTCTAGAGCCTCTAGAAGGGACCAGCCTCACTGGCACCTGGACTTTAGCCGAGTGAAACTGATTTCAAACCTCTGACCTCCAGAATAAATTGGTTATTTTTAAGCCACTCACCTTGTGATAATTTGTTACAGCAGCAAGAAGAAACTAAATCAACCTCCTCCAGTGATTCTGGCATACACCCCTGGGTAAGAATCGCTGTGTTAGACAAAGGCAGAAGCCAGCAAACTTTGTCACAGACAACGTGTTACAAACTCACACTGTTGCTCCTACACAGGGACTAAGAACATGGGAGCAGTTTATTGTCTCAAGAGCTTGACAGATTCAAATTGCAGCCAGCTTCATTTCTAAACCATAGTATATCCTGGTGGAATTGAAGAGTTGCTGAGAACACAAGTCCATCCTGAGATGGGAATTGAAGTTGTAACCCACTGAGGTACCAGAATTAGAATTACCTTCTACAGTAGTCACTACTGAGTCAGTAAGCAGAAAATCCATGGGGTTACATTGCTTCTGGCTTGAAGGTGGTGGTGCATGGAGTGGGAAGCTACCTCACTGCTAGAGGACAGGGGATCAGCAAAAGGTAGAACATATCCTGGCATATCCGTAGTCTTGGTCATAGCAGCTTCCCCCTGATGAGTCAATGGACTCCAGTGTGTGTAGGCTGGGCTCTTGGGTAGCCTAAGTACCACTTCCTCTCTTGAGAGTAGATTTCCCTGCCGGAGGTTAGAATTCTGCCTAACCTCTCCTTGACCTTGACCTTTGATCACACAACACCCAAGGAACTTTGCTTTGTGAATAAACTCATGAGTGAACTGCGACTAATAGTTGGCATAGGCTGCTTAATCTGAAAAGGTTTCCTTCCCCCTTTCTCTTCCTGTGATATTGTGATTTATAGTAAGAAATATGTATTTGGTCTTTGTCCCCCTGTAGCATAGAGCTCCTAAAACACTTGGAATTTCTTAAGTGTTGAGAGCAATTAAGGAGCCTTTTGTTACATTAACAGATGACTTTGGGAAAGCCCCTAAATAACTTAGAGAAGGGGGCTGGTTGCCAGGGACACCAATCTTGAACAGAGGGTAGAAACTTTCAGTCTCACCCTCTTGATTTCTGGGACTTGGCCAGTTGATCATGCCTATAACACGAAGCTTCCATTAAAACCCCAAAGCAGAGGGTTCAGAGAGCTTCCAGGTTGGAGAACATGTGGAGATTTGGGGAAAATGGTGTTTTCAGAGAGGACATGAAAGTTCCTTGTCCTTTCTCCATCCCTATGCATCTCTTCCATCTGGCTGTTCCTGAGTTACATCCTTTAATAATAAACCAGTAATCTAGTAAGTACACTGTTTTTCTAAGTTCTGTGGGACACTCTAGCAAATCAATCAAACCCAATAGGGTGTCATCAGAACCTCCCATCTGTAGCCAGACCATGAGGACCACAGGTACCTGGACTTGTGACTGGCATCTGAAGCGGGGTAGGGTGGGTAGGGACAGTCTTGTAGGATTGAGCCCTTAACCTGTGGTATCTAATGCTATCTCCAGGTAGGTAGTGACAAATGGCACCAGAGAATTGCTTGGTGGGGAAACCCCCATACACATTGAACTGGGTCCCAGAATCTTCATTTTCTCCCTGTCCCCTTCTTCCCTAATAAGAGAACT